ACAATTGCACCTGTGTACAATTGCATCCACTGTGCTCCAGCCTTGGCAACATAGTGAGATCTTGTCTCTCTTAAGAGCAAAAACCATGAGATCAGCATTAAGAAACAATGAAACCAGAATGTGGATGAAGTTGAAACTTCTGGTGATACTGGCAGTGGGAGTGGAAGAAAGATACATTCTATTAACATTTATAAAGCACAAACTGTTCAATACTGATTTCCTCACATAAACTTCTGTTGGTATGTCAGTGAATAAAAATAAACTTGATTTGCTTGAAAAAATAAAAAGCTTCTTATCTCTGTAAAGCAGCCATTCTTCCTTAAACTTTCTCTTCAAAAGCATGGTCTGACAGGAGTTGGAGATCAGAGGGCCTGACTTGGAAAAGACCCATTTCATCAAGGGTTTGACCACTCCTGCCAGAACAGGATTAAATGCCAAAGGACGTGACCCCTACTTTGAGCCAATAGCTATTATCAGGGTGACAGCTTCCTGGAACACAGATTTCCTTCTGAACACAAGCAAATATTAAGTAGAAGTCTGTGAGTTTACAGTGACCCAAGTAGTATTTTATGGGATACAGCAATGCCCTAGCTTAAGATGGCTGCTGCTTCTCATGAATTTATGTTATTGTGATTGGAATACATGAAGAAGTGGTAGAAGACTGTAAGAACAAGGAAAAGTTTTCATTTTCTCTGAGCTGGAAAAAAAGACATTAACAAAGGGGTTTTAGGCTTGGCGCCTGTGGCTCAAGTGGCTAAGGCGCCAGCCACATAGACCTAAGGTGGCAGGTTCGAATCTAGCCTGGGCCCGCCAAACAACAATGATAGCTGCAACCAAAAAATAGCCAGGCGTTGTGGCGGGCGCCTGTGGTCCCAGCTACTTGGGAGGCGGAGGCAGGAGACTCACTTGAGCCCAGGAGTTGGAGGTTGCTGTGAGCTGTGATGCCACATCACTTTACCCAGGGGGATAGCTTGAGGCTCTGTCTCAAAAAAAAAAAAAACCAACAACAAAAGGGGATTTATAGAGAATGATCCTTTTTTTAAAAAAAGTGGGTATGTGCAGCTCATGTACAGAAAAATAGGCATACGTATGCATAAAAATGTAACAGCAATACATACTCTGTTCAGCTATGGAACAGAGGATAGGACAAATACATAGCTTTGGATTCTAACAAGGTCACTGAAAACTGAAAGAAAATAGGCCAGTTGTGGTGGCTCACGCCTGTAATTCTAGCACTCTGGGAGGCTGAGAGTGAATTGCTCTCAAAAAAAACAAAACAAAAAAAAACACAAAAGAAAACAAAGAATATTGGAAGAAAATACAAGAATGATTTATTTTCAAAGAATTAATAATACAGTAATTTTTTTTTTTTTTTTTGAGACAGAGCCTCAAGCTGTGTCCTTGGGTAGGGTGCCGTGGCGTCACAGCTCACAGCAACCTCAAACTCTTGGACTTAAGGGATTCCTTGCCTCAGCCTCCCACGAGGCTGGGACTACAGGTGCCCAGCACAACACCCGGCTATTTTCTTGTTGTAGTTGTCATTGTTGTTTAGCTGGCCCAAGCTGGCTCGAACCCACCAGCCTCAGTGCATGTGGCTGGTGCTGTAACCACTGTGTTACAGGGGCCAAGCCAATACAATAAATCTTAAGCAATAAATCTGAGTGAGGGACTTACCTTTCCGAACACTTGCCACAGCCATCTTCAAAGGAATTTATTTCAAGAGGTGGAAGCCTCATCCCATTGTCTCAACCTGGGATAACACTCCACTGCAGCAGGGCCAAATGGATAGAATTGACAGAGAATTCCATTGGCACCTGACATTCTCTGTTCTGATGTAGTCATAGAAAGCACAGTACAACTCTTTTAATAATAGATTTTCAATATTTAGATGTGAACTGAACTTGTTATCAAATAATGTTCTAGTCCAACCAAGAGTGATGAGGCAATCTGACCTTAGCTCATTAAAATGAATTAATGTCTAACATATTAGAAATTAAAAACCCTACCAATGATTTCTCAAGTATTTGCTTCTTGGGCTGGATTTTAAATAGCACCAAAGAGATGATTAGGGTAATCATTTAATTTAATGTGGTTGGAATTAATCCTCTACATCAAATTTATTGTCAGAAGTTACCAAAAGTCACTATTACTACTGTTTATAATACAACATCGTGGTTATCTTAGTAACTTAATCTATTTGATAAGTGTATACTTCTGAGGGCATCTGGTAGCAAAACAAACTATTTTTAGCTGCTATGGATAAACTAGATAAATGTCTTCCTATATCAATTCCCAGTTGAAGGCCAGTTGTGTATGTGTATTCCAGAGTTTCTGGAGGCACTGGTCAGCTCAAATGCTACCAGTAAAGAATAAACTAGGGTAGAAAGAGCTTCAGGGAACCACGAAACAGCATAAACAGCATAAAATGGAGAGGGCAAAAGAAAATTAGAGGTTATTTCTCAAATTTATTGTATTTGCTCATCTGTGTTCCTGTCTCACATATTTTCTTTCAACCCATGATTATGCCTCCTCTAGGTAGATCTCTGAAGAGAACATCCTTTGTTTATATACAGTATACATCAAGCAGACTACCTGTCACAGGCTGGGACAGGGCAGGGAAAGCCAGTCATCTTTCCATTCTTCACCATCTCATGTGCCTTTTACTAACTTCCTTTCTTTTTGACCCAGGGTCTGGCTTTGTTGCCCAGGTTAGAGTGCCTTGGTGTTAGGCTGGCTCACAGCAACCTCAAACTCCTGCCTCAGCCTCCAGAGTAGCTGGGACTACAGGTGCCTGCCACAATGCCCAGCTAATTTTTTCTATTTTTTTAATAGAGATGGGAGTGTGTGTCTCATACTTCCTCGGGCTATTTTTTTTTTTTTTTTTTTGAGACAGAGCCTCAAGTTGTCCCCCTGAATAGAGTGCTATGACATCACAGCTCACAGCAACCTCCAACTCCTGGGCTCAAGCAAGTCTCCTGCCTCCACCTCCCAAGTAGCTGGGACCACAGGTGCCCGCCACAACGCCCGGCTATTTTTTGGTTGCAGCTGTCATTGTTGTTTGGCGGGCCCGGCTGGATTCAAACCTGCCACCTTAGGTGTATGTGGCTGACGCCTTAGCCGCTTGAGCCACAGGCACTGAGCCACTCGGGCTATTCTTTAGCTCCTGAGCTCATGCATTCCTTCTACCTCAGCCTCCCTAAGTGCTAACATTACAGGCCCGAGCCACCATGCCTAGTCAAAAGTATAGCTATTTAAAGGATTACTTCTTTTCATTGGGCCTCCCTTGACAGGTAGCTTTTGTTTCACTCAGTTATCACAAACAGGCAGCATAAGTGTCTGTTAACAGCTACTTTCCTTCAAAGAATCCCTGCATCCCCAAGGTCACTGTGGCTGTGCATCTTACTCTGAGCAGCCCTAGAATGGGTCCCACTTCTGGACAGAGGACAGATATATCTCAATTTATCTCACACAGAAGTTAGGGTTCTGTTTCTGAATGGTATTAAAGCTATTAAGGAGCTTCTAAAAAATGGAATTTCTCTTCCACAGTTTTCTACACTGTGAACCATATGGGATACTTGGGCCCTTAGGAGGTACTCTATTGTTCCTAACCTGTCACTCTTTACCCCCTTTCTCTTATGTGGCTAACAGCAAAGTTTCTAAATCTAAATATGGGGTGTGCTACCATTCAGCCTGAGTTCCCCTAGCTCAGTGGGTAGGGTGCTGGCCACATACACTGAGGCTGGTGGGTTCGAACCCTGCCTGGGCCAGCTAAAACAACAATGACAACTGCAACAAAAAACAATAGCTGGGGTTGTGATGGGCGCCGGTAGTCACAGCTACTTGGGAAGCTAAGGCAAGAGAATCGCTTAAGTCCAAGAATTTGAGGTTGCTGTGAGCTGTGACACCATGGCACTCTACTGAGAGTGACATAGTGAGACTCTGTCTCAAAAAAAAAAACAAAAAACAAAAAACAAAAAACTAGGATAGTTCTTCTAAAAAGTTTTGCTTGCTTGAAGCCCAGTTTTCCCAGTATATAGTTTACAAAATCTAGAAAATAAACATTGGATTTATAAGAGCATTCTGATTCTCAGTATTTTTTTTATACTCTCAGTTTATTAAATATTTTCTGGGAGAGGTCTTGAAGAGCAGGTATACAGTAATGCTGAATCTAGCAAATGGGTAAGAAGATGAAACATCTGTGGCTCATGCCTATAATCCTACCATTGGGAAGGCCAAAGCAGGTGGATTGCCTGAGCTCACGGGTTCAAGACCAGTCTGAGCCAGAGCGAGACCCTATCTCTAAAAATACCCTGGCATTGTGGCAGGCCCCTGTAGTCCCAGCTACTCGGAAGGCTGAGGCAAGAGAATCACTTGAGCTCGAGAGTTTGAGGTCGCTGTAAACAATGATACCACGACACTCTACTAAGGGAAACAAAGTGAGACTCTATCTAAAAAATAAAAAATAGTGTTTGCAAAATGCTGAAACCATTTTAGAAAAGGACTTATAGAATGAAGAAGAAACCATCATAATCTAAAAATAAGTGACTGACCCTCTTCTTCAACCCCAATCATTATATGATAAATAATTAAAAGTTGCTAATATGCCTTTGATATTTTGGTCAGTTTACTACAGGGGACCATAAATAATTCCCTGAGGGTAGAGGATACTGTACAGAGAATAATACATAGTCAGAGATGTGAGAAGAGGTTTAGAAACAACATTAGTAGCCCAAGGCCAGAAGGATTGGTCCTGCCATTGGTAGGCCTGGAAGGTGAGATCCAAAGTAGCAAAACAGTTATGAAAAGCATTACTTGTCACATAAGCTAAGTGGAATAGCTGGTCCCATAGGAGAAATGGAGGCTTCATTCTATACTGAGTTTTCCAACTCTGGATAAACCTTTGAAAATAAATGCTAGAGAAAAAAAATGAAGCTGGTTGTGAAAAGATGTTATATTTCATTTAATTAAAAAATCAATTTGTTGGCATATAAACAAAACAGTGTTAATAGAACCCTTTCATCTTCAGTAGAGAGGCAATGCCCTAAACAAGCATCAATTTAAGAGCTCTGCTGGCAAGGAGGAGGGTGCTCAAACACAATTTTGCACAGGGGTGAGAGTCTTTACGTTTTTCTGTGGAGGCAAAGCCATTTGGTTGGCACTTCATAGGAATATCTTTCCACCCGGTCTTCGTCATATGGTATGTGCCATGAGTCTCCAGTTGTTTGCACCACTGTGTTATAGCTGAGAATATGCTGTTGAGTTAAAAAGAGAATCAAGCATTGAGAATAACACTAAAGGGTCACCTGGCTTTTTCCTTTTCCTTTCTGACAACCTCTCACTTTGCTTCAGAGGAGTATTCCCTGTCTTAGTTAACACTGGATTTTCAAAGAACAGCTAACTCTGCAAAGATGAACCCTAGTATTGGGAGTTCATTTTTTCCGGGGGGGGGGGAGGTTATTTTGAAAGTGAAGAATTTTCTATAGAAGCAAGACAGTTACATGATACAGAATTCCTTTTGTTGGCTTTATCAATTTTGTATGTGAGAGTAAAAACTTTCAAATAACGTTGGCCCTTTGTATCTGTGAGTTCTGCATCTGTGTATTCAACCAACTATGGATCAAAAATATTTTTAAAAAATTCCATCTATACTGAATGTGTATAGACTTTTTTTTGCTATTATTCCCATAATAATACAGAAACAACTATTTATGTAGTATTAGGTATTATAAATAATCTAGAGGAGACTTTAAGCATACAGGAGGATATGTATAGGTGATATGCCAATACTACATTATTTTATGTAAGGGACTTGAACATCTGAGCATTTTGGTATCTAAGGGATATCCTGGAACCAATTCCTTACAGATACCAAGGGACAGCTGTATACAAAAGTAGAGAAATCATATAATGAACTCTCATGTACCTATCACCTAGCTCCAACCATTAGCTACTCCTTGCTAATCTGATTTCATCTATACCCCACCCACTTTCTGGCCCCATGCCCTCACTAAAGATAATTTTGAAGCAAATCTCAGATATATCATTTCTTCTATAATATTTCGGTAAGCGATAAGAACTTATAAATGTAAAATACGTATTCCTATTATACTTAAGAATTAGCAATTCTTCAACATCATCAAATTTCTACTTTTTGTTTCCCCAATTATTATATATGTACATATATTTTACAGTTTATTTGTCTGAACAGAAATCAAAAGGTTATTACATTGTGATGGGCTGAAATATCTTTATTGCTTTTTGTCTTAACTGTCTTTTAATATTCTAGAGGTTCCTTTCTCATTTTTTCTTTTCATTTCTCTTTTTCTTACAACTTTTTGTTGTTTTTGAAAAAAATCACATCAGTTGACCTATATCATTCCCAATGATAAAGTTGTGATTTTGCTGACTGAATCCCTTTGGTATCATCTGATACCGTATTTTTTTATAAAGTTGTTACTTTGGATATTTTTATTTATTTTTAAATTAACAAATAAAAATTGTATATATTCATCACTACGATTACAGGCGGGAGCCACCCAGCCTAGCCTCAGTTCCTCCTGGTGCTTTCATACAAGATACCTCCTTGTACTATATGTATCTGTACTAGAATCAAAGGAGAACTCAATTGAAACTTTATCATAAAGATGAGTTACTTAGCAGAAATATGACAAACCGTAAGAGATAAGGAATTTTGAGCTACTGCAAATAGACAGGAAAATAAAAAATTCACATGAGAATTTAAAATTGATAACATAATTGAAGTGACAAGTGATGACATCCCAGGTGTTTTCAGTATGTCAATTAATTTGGGTTGGCCTATGAAAACTTTTGCTTTGGCAGACTGTTTCTAGGAACTAGCTCCTTGCAAAACCAAAACCAAGAAAAATAAAGTGTTTAGAACCTTCAATTCGTTCAATATTCTTTTTCTATGCCACATTCTTTTTTTTTTTTAGACAGGAGCCTCAAGCTGTCCCCCTGGGTAGAGTGCCATGGCATTACAGCTCACAGCAACCTCCAACTCCTGGGCTCAAGCGAGTCTCCTGCCTCCGCCTCCCAAGTAGCTGGGACCACAGGCGCCCGCCACAACGCCCGGCTATTTTTTGGTTGCAGCCATCATTGTTGTTTTGGCGGGTCCGGGCTGGGGATTCGAACCCGCCACCTTAGGTGTACGTGGCTGGCGCCTTAGCCGGTTGAGCTATAGGCGCCTAGCCTCTATGCCACATTCTTACTATTAACTTATACTTGACTCAGTTAAGAGTATGTAGGGACAGATACCATACCTGAAAGATCATTTTCGATCCTGGAAACTTATTCCTAATTGCCAGTTGATGTCCCTGCTGCCACTTAAAGAACAATCGTTGGGTCTTGGCATCAGGTAGACAGGCCTTGTGGTCCCGCATCAGGTCTTTTGTGACAAACTTGCAGTGATTCCCTGAGTGCAGTGTGGCATACAGAAGGAACGGATCATCCTTGGAGCTGACAGGAATAAGAAAGGACACAATGAAACACACCCAAGGAGGGAGAAGACAGCATTTTTCGTCATGCTTTTTTTTACTGACTTTCCTTGGAGGTGCCTCTGAATTCTTGACTGATATAATCTCAGCCATACTTATGAATCACCTGGAAGTCCTTGGCTGGTAGGCTACTACTATCTAGAACACAAATGCAAAGCTGAGGGGAAGGGAATGCTATTACTTGGGATTACTACCAGCTCACTGGGCTTTCCCAACAGAATGAAGAATTCAGACAATTCTCTCTTCATATGCAAAAGTTGGTTCTCTGTTGGCATTTTTCCTATTTGCCCCTTCCACCAGAGGGGCTACCTTTTCCTCCTCTCATTTAAACTGAAGAAATGTCCCAAATCCTCCTAGGGCAGTATGACACTTTTTTGCAAGCCATCAAATAACTAGTTAACCCTAAAGCTGAAAATAGTATCTCAAAGCAGCTTCTAGAGAATCATCTGCATCAGCACCCAGAACATCTCTTGCTTTGAGAACAGCCAGTGCCTCAGAGTCGCCAACAGATCCTCAACTTTAGCACTTAACATTTTAATAGAAGTGCTGTAAAAATGGCAGTAACTGCCTTGGCTTAGGCGATTGGAACTGTAACACATGATAAATATGTTTTCTGTTCATTTTAGCATGAAGTATTTAAAGTGAAATGGTAAAATGATGGAATGAATCTGCCTTACACCCCTATAGGAAAAAAAGAAAAATTAAAAAATATGTAGGGTTAGCCAGGCACGGTGGCTTATGCCTGTAATCCTAGTACTCAGAGAGCCCAAGGTGGGTGGACTGCCTGAGCTCACAGGTTCAAGACCAGACTGAGTAACAGCAAGACCTCAAAATAGATGGGCATTGTAGTGGGCACCTGTAGTGCCAGTTACTTGGGAGGCTGAGGCAAAAGAATTGCTTGAGCCCAGGAATTTGAGGTTGCTGTGAGCTATGATGCCACAGAACTCTATCCAGGGTGACAAAGTGAGACTCTGCCTCAAAATAAAAACCAAAAACACAGATTTGTATGAAACAAAATTAGTAAAAATGATGGTAATTGTTGGAGCTGGGTGACAGTTACAGGGGCATTCAGTTTTCACTATACAATTCTCTCTAACGTATGTTTAAAAGCTTCTTTGGTAATTAGTGGAAAATAGAGTTAACATTAAAAGTTTAAGTAGTCAAATCCAAAGCTATAGAAGGTCAGTGAGTTAATCTTTAAAAGTGAGTATGAAACTTTGGCTGATGCAATAAATGTAGACTTCTTAACTATAATGCTTTGAATTTATCCCATTTTTCCATATAAGAAAAATAATAATAATGACAGCAACTAACATGTATGCTTTCTATGTACCTGGCGCTGGGTGAAGAGTTTTACATGTGTTATTTATGTGCATTATCTTGTTTAATTTAATCTTCACAACATAAAGGTTACATATGAAGAAAGGACCAGGTAGGAAGTGGCAGAGCCATGAACTGAACTTTGGTAGACTAATTCCCAAGGGCGCAAACCTAATGTCCGCCCCAAAGTTACCTAAAGTGCTTGCATGAAGAGCAGTGGTTCTCAACCTTCCTAATGCTGTGGCCCTTTAATACAGTTCCTGTGGGTTGCGCCCCACAGGTTGAGAACCACTGATGAAGAGCATTAAGTCTTGTATTCTTTGAGAAATGCAAGCACCTCTTTCCCAACTAAAGAAAGAGGAGATTGGTTTGGGATTTGAATGAGGTTGGATTCCTGCTTCATGCATTGAGCGGCATTTTACTTTTGAAAATTGCAGCTCAAAAGTAATTTTCTCTTCACATTTAGAATAAAATCCAGGCCTCTTGTGTGCCTACCAGAACCCAGAGGGTCCTCTATTATGTGGGCTCTGCCTTCTCTCTGGCCTCAGAGCCCATTTCCCTCTTGCCGTTACAGCCCATCCGCATGGGCTGTCTTGCTTTCCTCAAACATGTCAAGCTTATTCCTGCCTCTGAGCTTTTTGAATATGTGCTGCTCCCTTTATTTTTGATGTTCTTCCCACCACCCCACCCCACTCCCAAATGACTCACACCTTCCTACCAGAACAGCCCCCTCAGCCAGGCCTTTCCTGACCACCCCAGCTACTACCCTCTTGCCTAGCCTCTAACTAACTAATCCATTTCTATCAACTTTACTTTATTGTTTTCATAGCACTAGTCACTGCCTGGAATGACATCACCTGTTTATCTGTTTCCTTGCCAGGACTCTGTCTTGTTCACTGCTTATTCTCTGAAAATATAAGAGGTGTTCATTTTGTTAAATATTTGCTAAATGATCTATTTAGGATCTTCTGGCATATATTCTCTTTACTAATCTCATTGCTCACGCATTGACTCCCTTCTCCTTTCTCCTGATTTCTCCATCTATTTAAGTTTATCCTGCTGAAGAAACTTTATTTTTGTAAGCTGCCTCAAATCTTTCATTTTTTTTGAACAAGGCTGCATATAGTGTGTGTGTATACATGTGTCTCCCTCTTTTTTTTTGACATAGAATCTCCATTCTCTCACCCTGGGTAGAGTGCCATGGTGTCATCATAGCTAACAGCAATCTCAAACTCTTGGGTTCAAGCGATCCTCTTGCCTCAGCCTCCCAAAGTAGCTGAGACTACAGGCACCTGCCATGATGCCTCACTAGTTTTTTCTATTTTTGGTGGAGATAGGGTCTCACTCTTGCTCAGGCTGGTCTTGAACTCTTGAGCTTAAGCAATTCACCCACTTTGGCTTCTCAGAGTGCTAGGATTACTTACAGGCGTGAGCCACCATGAGGCCTATGTGCATTTTTTAAAGAGGAAAGTAGGTAACTACCAAGCCAAAGACTGCAGCCCAGTGTAATTCACCTCTAGTACTCACATGTCATCAGCAAAGAAACAGCTGGCTTGCTTTTGCACCATTTCCATCTCATCCTTTCTCCATCGAGAACTCTTTTTTAACATGTGCTTCCGGCCCAGGACCAGCAGTCGCAGATTTTGTTTGGCTAGTTGAGAGACTAATTCCAAGAGCTAAAAAACAGAAAGTCAGTGTGCAAGAGTTAAGGGAGGAATCCCAAATAAGTGGAGCAATTCTTCCAGCTGGTCACCTCAGTGGTCAAGCAGTATTTTCTGATAAGGGGCGAGAAAGTCCTTAAAATTTTTCTGTCTTTGAAAGCCTGAGGAAAATGCTTCTCTATTATAAGTTAATGTCTAACATTTGCCCACTGGTCAGGCTACACTGGATCCAGGGTGTTTTTCTAAGCGTAATAACACTAGTTCAGTTGCTTTGAGATTCCTTAGAGCTATGATGAAGATAGGGTACTGCTACTATACGTGCTCAACTCTGCTTCAACCAGGACAGCTCAACTTGTGTATATTTACATATTGGTATTCCGCATTAGATTTCATTTGAATAAAGGGTTCTGTTTTTTTTTTAAGTTTGTAAATGACTAGGCTAGATGGTGACTTTTCAGTCAACTTTTCCATGTCATGATTACTGCTAAGACTGCTGTCTTTCACTAAAATCTCTTTTCCTCCCAAAGATCTGCCAATTCTACCCTCTAGCCTACTTTCTAGCCAGCTAATCTACCCCATTCTCCCCACCTATGTGCACATGAACTCAAAGGTATAGACTTGGATTTTTAGCAAATCTAGTTCTTTGGTGAGCTTGCCTACAATCAATCTTTCATAACAAAAAGTCCACAGATTACTTTCATACACAACCTATTAAACTAAGCTACAAATGGATGCTACTAAGTAAAACAAAAACCAATAAAATTGTGATTTGTTATATTTATGAAATATAAAAGTTCTTTAATTTATAGGAATTGTTGGGCCCACAAAAAACACAAGTCGAAAGTAGAAAAAAATCCTTAATTTTCTTGGGTTTCTGCTGGAAAAGGTACTGATTTTAGTCTAGTTTCCCTTTACTCATCATTTCTTCCCCTATAGATGTTTAGGACATTATTTCAAGATCTTTCATCAATAAAATTCATTTATTTAGTCAGTTCTCAAATATTGTGTTAGCACCTATTACGTCTTATACACATGTAGACTCTCTGACAGTCTATTAATGAAGTAGCAAGGACTGAATTTTTTAAAAATTATTATTGTTATTTTTTTTGAGACAGAGTCTCAAGCTGTCACCCTGCATAGAGTGCCGTTGTATCATAGCTCACAGCAACCTCCAAATCCTGGGCTTAAGAGATTCTCTTGCCTCAGCTTCCCAAGTAGCTAGGACTACAGGTGCCCACCACAACGCCTGGCTATTTTTTGGTTATAGTTGTCATTGTTGTTTTGGCAGGTCTGGGCTGGATTTGAACCCACCAGCTCTGGTGTATGTGGCTAGCGCCTTAGCCACTTGAGCTACAGGCGTTGAGCCGAGGACCTAATTTTTAAATGTTATTGTTTAATAGTTTGGGTTTATATTTGAGTTTTGTTCATCTTATACCACTGCTAACTTATTATTATTTTAGGAAGAAATAGCCGGTTTTATTATCCTTAATTATTAGTTCTATAATCAAGACATAGACTAGATAAAATTTTCCAATGTTAAGTGAGCCAATACTCATATAGGAAAGATAACACCAGCTTGAGGATGCCAAATCTAAAGATTTACAATTAGTAAAATATAGTTATTTCCTTCAAAGTTAGGAACAGTGTCTTCTGCGTTCATTCAACAGTTATTTCCCAAGTCTCTCTATGCATAAGGTTAGGAAAGCATATATGCTGGCTCTATACATATTAATAAACATTTTCTTGTTAGCTGAAGAATATCTCAACATCTTTTTATCTATCATAAAGTATCTCGTCTTGAAAATTTGAAAAATGGAAAGAAGAAGCCACTCATAACTCATTACCCAAGGATTGTTAATATTTATTTACCAGTCCTTTTATTCTATGCATTTTAATATAATCTTATAAGATATTATTTTGAAAGTTGGGCTTGTAATTAAAAGCAAATCCACAGATTGCCTCATAGATTCAAACAGCTCAAAAGATAGTGCATCTCCTTCAGAATGCACTTATAACATTCCTTTTTAAAAGCTACACTGACAATGAATCCCGAACAAGCAAACAAAAGAAAATAATGAAAAAAATAAAAGCTATGCTGAGATTAACAGATTATTTTCATTGAGCTCAGATACAAAATGGCAGCTGGACTCATTAATAAGAATGACAATCACTTTTAAAATTTCCATATGGAATCCCACAGTTGTAGAGATATTAAAAAAATATTCAAACAAAGACAATTTGTGATACTAGTTGTTTAAGTTTCCATGCAACTGGGAAAACATGGGTTAACAAAAACCACAATTGGGTCTTCACAGATAGACCCTGTCTCAGGTAAATAGCCTTGAGTGTACTACCAGTAAGTTAAAAATTGAGCAGAAAAGCCTTATCCTGAACAACTCTGGGGCACCATCTTGTGGCTGAGAGGTTTCTACTTGTACAGTTCTCTGAAAACAATGAAAACAAAGGAGACTACATGAAGGGGTGAGTGGGCAGAATAAAGACACTCGCTTGAAACTCTATAACAGTCCAGCTACAAACCACCCATATAACATTCCTGACATCCGAAAATTGTAGAAATGGAGAACAGATTAGTGGTGGCCAGGGACTAAGGAGAGGGTGGGATCAGTATTACTTCTTATAACTGCCTCTGAATCTGTAATTATCTCACAATAAAAAGTAAACAAACAAAACCCCCAAATCCTCAATCAAAAATCAAATTAGGCCTTCTAAGGAAGGACAAAGAGGTATGTGACAAATATCCAATGCATGTAGGGTGATCACCTCATAAAAGGCAGTCAATCCCCTTGAGACTAATAAAGAGGGAGCAGATGTAGATGAGAGAGATGAGGAAGAATTTTCCTTGAACACAGGACAGTCCTGACTAGAGGAGCTAAGATCCACTTTGAGGGTTCTCTAGGTTGAGGAGGGTGGGGGCAGTTCTGGGCTTGCCTAAGTGTTCTGCAATCTATACCAATTAGTAAAGCAAAACAAACAGTATACAGCCCACTCTGGGGGCGTATCTGAAATACTAAATTGATTACAGAACTCATGAGGCCTCCTGGGTACCCAATACCTCAAGCTTAACCTCCGCAACACATCCCTGGTCCTGCTCAGTCCATACCTTCCCTTGGCCTAGCCTTCTGGAATGGGGAGATAGGGACTTTCTCATGCCAGACTTGTCATCTTGGAATTCTTTCTTTATCCTGACTTGGACCTATCTTCTGTATTACCTACTATTTCACTTCTTCTTTTCAAAGTCATTTTTCCTTGAAATACAGAGGGTGCCACATTTAATACAGTTTTTTCCTTTCTTTTCTTTTTTTTGTAGAGACGGAGTTTGACTTTGTCGCCCTCGGTAGAGTGCCGTGGAGTGACACTGCTCACAGCAAACTCCACTCCTGGGCTTAGGCAATTCTCTTGCCTCAGCCTCCCAAGTAGCTGGGACTACAGGTACCTGCCACAACGCCTGGCTATTTTTTCGTTGCAGTTTGGCCAGGGCCAGGTTTGAACCCGCCACCCTTGGTATATGGGGCTGGCGCCCTACCCACTGAGCCACAGGCACTGTCCTGTTTTTTTCCTTTCTTAAAGGGAAAAATATGTATACATTTTTTTGGTACCCTTTGTATTTCTCCTTTCTTCACCATATTATCTTCTGATTAGTGTTTGGACTAAATTTTAACTTTCTGTCTACCATTGTCCCTCAAGATGTTTAAGGATAATCTTTTAAATCCAGATGAGTAAAAACAAATTTCAGATTAATACTCAGTGCAGACATTTTCTAGCTTGGACTCTATCCTAATTTGGTTTATCTTCTGTAAGAAATAATATGTTTTGGCTCAGTGCCCATAGTTCAGTGGTTAGGGCACAGGCCACATACACGGGGGCTGGTGGGTTCGAACACAGGCTGGGCTTGCTAATCAATAATGATAACTACAACAAAAAAATAGCTGGGTATTGTGGGGGGACGCCTGTAGTCCCAGCTACTTGGGAGGCTAAGGCAAGAGAATTGCTTAAGCCCAAGAGTTTGAGGTTGCTGTAAGCTATGATGCTGTAGCACTCTACCAAGCTTGACGAGACTCTGTCTCAAAAAAAAGAATAGGCAGCACCTGTGGCTCAAAGGAGTAGGGCACAGGCCCCATATGCCAGAGGTGGCGGGTTCAAACCCACCCCTGGCCAAAAAAGCAAAAAAAAAAAAAAAAAAAAAAAAGAGTAATAAGGTTTTTTTTTGTTTGTTTTTTTAAGAAAGAAAGTCTTGCTCTGTCACCTAGCACTTTAGCTCTAGGCGACAGAGCTCACTATAACCTCAAACTCCTGGCTTAAGTGATCTTTCCTGCCTCAGCCTCCTGAGTACCTGGGACTGCAGGCACCCACCCATCATGTCCAGCTAATTTTTATTATAATTACTTTTTGTAGAGAAGGGGTGTTGCTATGTTGTCCTGGCTGGTCATAAACTGGCTTCAAGTCATCTTCCTGTCTTGGCCTCCCAAAGTGCTAGGATTAAATGTGGAGATTTTTTTTTTTTTTTTAAACTCCTAAGTGACATACTTACTTTTGGCATAAAACTGCTGGAAAGTAGTTCCTGAGCTTAGGGTAAAAATACAGTTGGCAGGGCTACATGTGTTAGAAATAACTGTGTACAGGGATGCTCAGGAAATAGAAAAGATGCTTGAGAGGTGAGAGAGGCCAAGAAGAGCAAGGGCTTTTCTGAGTAATCCTAAACAGCATCCTTCCTTTCCCCCTGCTTGTAACTTTTTACCTCCTCCTCTCTAGTCTCTGGCATTTTTCTGGCATTGTATGGACTCTGTAAGTCTTTGGGATCTGATATGTACAGAAATTAGAAATATTTTATACCATTAGAAATATTCAGCAAGATAACTATAATCAACATACATCATTTATAAGGATATTCATTATAGGATGCCTTCAGGAAAAGATTCATATACCATTTTGGAAATAACTCTAATGTCCATTGAAAGATGAAAGGATAAGTAAAATGTGGTGCATGCATACAACAG